TTTTTTTTTTTTTGCATTTTTTGGCCAGGGCTGGGTTTGAACCCACCACCTCTGGCATATGGGGCCAGCGCCTGCTCCTTTGAGCTACAGGAGCCACCCTACTTGAACTTTTCATCAACAACTCACAACTCCTGCGTGACCATGCACCAGCTCACAGGGCACTGTCTGTGGGGGAGTTTTTAGCCAGTAAACAAGTTACCGTATTGGAACAACTTCCCCACTCACCTGATCTGGCCCCCAGTGACTTCTTTCTTTACTTGGTGATAAAGGAAATACTGAAAGGAAGACATTCTGTTGACATTCAAGACATCAAGGGTAATACAATGACAGTGCTGATAGCCATTCTAGAAAAAGAGTTCCAAAATTGTTCTGAATGGTGGGCTAGGCGCTGGCATTGGTGCACAGCTTCCTAAGGGGGGCACTTCAAAGGTGACCATAGCAATATTCAGCAATTAGGTATGGAGCATTTTTTCTAGAATGAGTTTACAAACTTAATTGTCAGGCCTTTATAACCCAAGTACCATTGTAATGGTCAAAGAATTCCTTAATTTTATCTAATACTCAGTCCATATTCCATGTTTCCCAACTATTCATACAAAAAAATCTTCTTACATGTGGTTTGTTCAGATCAGAACCCGAAGTCCATACACTGTATTTGGTTGATATTTGACTCTTTTAATATAACAGTGGTGCCCCCCCCATCATCATTTATTTGGAAGTTTTAGAGTCATTTATCTTATAGAACACCCCACATTCTGAATGTGGCCAAATGTTTCCTTACAGTGTCATTTAAAATGTCCCTTTACGGGTCGGCACCTGTAGCTCAGTGAGAAGGGGCCACATGCACTGAGGCTGGTGGGTTTAAACCCACCCTGGGCCTGCTAAACAACAATGACAACTGCCACAAAAAAATAACTGGGCATTGTGGCAGGCGCCTGTAGTCCCAGCTACTCGGGAGTCAAGAGAATCACTTAAGCCCAAGAGTTTGAGGTTGCTGTGAGCTGTGATGCCACAGCACTCTACCGAGGGTGACATAAATAAATAAATAAATAAAATGTTCCCCTGAATTCCATGTGAACTCTAACTTGCACACAGATCCAAGGACTTCATTAGATTCAGAGTCTTTATTTTTTTCCAAGAAGACTTTCTAGGTGGCAGTATATGTGGGTTACATCAGGGGGGTACACGTATAGGTCTGTGTTCTGGGATTTTTAGCTTAATCTGCTCTAAAATTTCCTATGAAGTTAAGTTTTTTGGTTGTTTTTCTTTTTATTTTGCAGTTTTTGGCCAGGGCTGGGTTTGAACCCACCACCTCTGGTATATGGGGCTGGCGCCCTACTCCTTTGAGCCACAGGTGCCACCCATTTTTTTGGTATTTTTTAAATTATAAAAATGTTCAAATATTTACAAAAGTTGAAAGAATTTTACAGGGCATGCCTATTCACCCAACCATCTAGGTTTTTATCCCTCCAACCTTTTACTCAGTGATTAGAACAGACTTTGATGATGTTATCTAGATCCATTATTTCATTAGCGTTTGCAAAATTATGATTTTTCTAATGCTGTGATTCCTTCCAAAGTCTTCTATAAATAACCACTTTCTCTCTCATTAGCTATTTGGTTATCTGTTAATAGAAATCTGGTCCTGGCTCGGCGCCCGTAGCACAGTGGTTATGGAGCCAGCCACATGCACTGAGGCTGGCGGGTTCGAGCCTGGCCTGGGCCAGCTAAACAATGACAACTGCAACAAGAAAATAGCCGGGCGTTGTGGTAGGCACCTATAGTCCCAGCTACTTGGGAAGGTGAAGCAAGAGGATCACTTAAGCCCAAGAGTTGGAGGTTGCTGTGAGCTGCGATGCCACAGCACTGTACTGAGGGTGACATAGTGAAACCGTCTCAAAAAAAGAAATCCAGTCTTTATGAGAAAGGCCAAGTAGATGTTAAATTTCTTTTCCTATTTATCAGTTTTCAAAAAAAAAAAAAAAAAAACAGGTAGTGCCCTAATAACTTCTTCAAGAAATCAATGAGCTTCTTTTAAATTTCTTTGAGTTGTATTATGAATTCATGAGTTTTTATTTAATTGATGTGTTTCTCTTTCTTTTTTTTGAGACAGTCTCTCACTATGTCACCCTCGGTAGAGTGCTGTGGTGTCACAGCTCACAGCAACCTCAAACTCTTGGGCTTAAACGTTTCTCTTGCCTCAGCCTCCCAAGTAGCTGGGACTACAGGAGGCCACTGCAACACCTGGCTATTTTTTTTGCTGTAGTTGTCATTGTTGTTTGGCAGGCCCCGGCGGGTTCAAACCTGCCAGCCCTGGTGTATGTGTCTGGTGCCTTAGCTGCTGAGCTAGTGGTGCAGAGCCGTTCTCTGTGTCTTTTGACACAATCCTAGTGGTCTTTGATGGCTTCTTTGCTGTCTGGATGGAAGGACATCTAAGAATATTGTGTATATTTCCTGTCCTAAACCTGATTCCAGACATTTCTCTAAGGAGCCCTGGTTCATTTTGGCTGGGCAGAATAATCCTAATCCAAAGCCTAGGGATATAGAATGCTACTGGAATAGCTTCTGGGCCTTTTTAGTACATAGTACGATCAAGTTTAAATCAAGTTCCAATTGATACTCTCAAATTAAAGATCACAGGGGTTTACTTACTTTTTTAAAATTCTGTATTTGTCTCCCTTTTACACTGAAAATCTTGGTTTCTCCTAACATTAACATACTGACTTGCTTTATTCCAATGTATAGGGTACTTGCAAAGTAACGATATTTAATATTATCAGGAATAGTCTGAATATAGTTTAAGGTTTCTTTACAGTTCAGTTTGTCCTTATATATCCGAGTAGGAATGAGCCGCCAAAATACCATGTTTCAAAGTCATTTGAAATCATTTTTCCCTATATAACTGTGCCTCCAACTTGATAAAGAGTTAAGTTTATTGATTTTGGTTTGGGATATTTAAAGGTTACTTTACATTTTGTTTTTGAACTTTTAAAATGCTATAAAATAGTTTACCTGATCACAAATTCAAAAGTACAAAATACAACCCCTTTGAAGACGCCCGCAGTCACTGGAGCTTCCTCTTCTCTCTTTACTACTTTCCCTGCCAGAGAAGTATTCTTATGAGTGTCCCTCTATTGTTTTCTTTTTCTAAATACAAGCAAATATGAACATATGAAAACATATTCCTTTTTTTTTGAGACAGAGTCTCACCTTGTCGCCTCTGGTAGAGAGCCACAGCATCACAGCTCACAGCAACCTCAGACACCCAGGCTCAAGCCATTCTCTTGCCTCAGCCTCCCAAGGAGCTGGGACTACAGGTGCCTGCAGCAACACCCAGCTATTTTGGGAGATGGGGGTCTCATTCTAGCTCAGGCAATCTACCTGCCTCAGCCTCCCCGGGTGCTGGGATTACAGGCGTGAGCCACTGCACCTGGCCCTAAAAACATATTTTTAACATTGGAATAGACTGTGTACATTTTCACTCAGGGGTCACTATTATTATTAATTTCAAAGTTTCCTACCACACATATCTGACACCTAGCACCTAGTAATGTTTTATGTAAAATTACAGGCTCAAGCCAGGTGCAGTGGCTCACACCTCTAATCCCAGCACTTGGAAGGTTGAGGCAGGAAGATCACTTGAACTCAGGAGTTCAAGGCCAGCCTGGGCAACATAGCGAGAGCCTGTCTCCATAAAAATATTTTAAAGATTGGCTCAGCATGAGGGTACATGCCTTGTAGTTCCAGCTACTCGGGATAATGGGGCTGGAGGATCCCTCTGTGTAAGCCCAGGAGTTGGAGGTTGCAGTGGAGCCAAGATTGTGCCACTGCATGTTAGCCTGGGCAACAGAATCAGACCCTGTATCAAGATAAAGTTATAGGCCCAAGCCCAGCTCTTCCTGTCTGCTTTCCCTACTGGCTCCTCTTCACAGCACTTACACTATTTCATATGTGCCACATTTTACCTATTATGTTTATTGTCTGTCTTCCCCACCAGAATGTCAGTTCCCTGAGGGTAGGAAGCTTTGTCTGCTATAACCCCAGCACCTAGAACAATGCCTAGCACTCACACAATATTTGTTGATTGAATAAAAGAATGCTTGATAAGTATTTGAACAATAAGTGAATGCATGAGCAAATTAAAAACATAAATGAATTGATTTAGGGTCATGGTCTAAATTAGGGCCATCCCATCCCAGAGACTCACCTTTGTAGCCAAAACCCCAGAGCTCACTCTGAGCCATCCTTCTCTCTTGCCCCAGGTGTCAAATGTGGGGGTGTGCTCTCAGCACCTTCCGGAAACTTCTCCAGCCCCAATTTTCCGAGACTGTACCCTTACAACACGGAGTGCAGCTGGCTGATCGTGGTGGCGGAGGGGTCCTCCGTGCTGCTCACCTTCCATGACTTTGACTTGGAGTACCATGACACCTGCGACTTTGACTTCTTGGAGATCTACAATGGAGCCTCAGCAGACAAGGGCAACCTGCTGGGGAGATTCTGCGGCCAGGTGCCCCCGCCGCCCTTCACCTCATCCTGGCACGTCATGTCTGTGGTCTTCCACTCGGATAAGCACGTGGCTAGCCGCGGCTTTGCTGCAGGCTACCAGAAAGGTCAATGTGGGGAGCGGGCAGTGGACAGGCTGGCCCAGGGTGGAGGTGGGAGTAGAGCAGTAGGGCCAGATGAGACGGGCAGGCTCTCGGCACCTCAGCATGTAGGCTGCTCTGGAAGGAACTTGCACCGCTCTGCTCTCACACACAGCTTAAGGGGCAGAGGCAGCTTCCTGGATCGTCTGTGATCTTGTCCATTTCTCCTGGAGCCCCCAGAGGTCTCACTGTGTTCAGGAATGAAGCTTCTCATGTTCTTCTACCCTCGTCCTTCTTTGCCCATCTCATGGCATCAGGCCACTGGAGAGGATGTCGTGGCTGCTGCTGCTTTCCATGGCACCTCACTCCTTGACAGCACAGGAGTCCCCAGCTGGGTCTTCACAGGAGGGGCTGGGTGGGGCTGGTCATTCCTCCCTCCTTCATTGAGGCTTGATAGCTGCTTCTCAGTCTGGCAGAGGGAACGGAGGCCTTGCCCTTCTTGCTTTTCTCCTTGACGCATTCCTCCTTGTCCTCAGGCTTCTGTGCATGGACACAAACCCCACCTCCTCCCCAGGCCCAAACCACAGGCCTTATTCATGTCAGCTCATAGGACAGTCACAGAAGCTCCTGGTCCACAGAGCCCTCCAATAGCAATCTTAGGGGACTCAGTTGGGACACCCGGTCCTTGGTGCACTTAGAAGAATGGGCTTGGCTCGGCGCCTATAGCTCAACCGGCTAAGGTGCCAGCCACGTACACTTAAGGTGGCGGGTTCGAATCCCCAGCCCAGACCGCCAAACAACAATGAGGGCTGCAACCAAAAAATAGCCAGGCGTTGTGG